ATTAATGAACAATTAATGAGGAATTAATGAAAATCTAACAAAGAATTAATCAAGAACTAATGAAGAATTAACAAAGACTTAAAGAAGAATTAATAAGGAATGAACGAGGAATTAATGGAGAATTAATGAACAATTAATGAGGAATTAATGAAAATCTAACAAAGAATTAATCAAGAACTAATGAAGAATTAACAAAGACTTAAAGAAGAATTAATAAGGAATGAACGAGGAATTAATGGAGAATTAATGAACAATTAATGAGGAATTAATGAACAATTAATGAGGAAATAACGAGAAATTAATGGAAAATTAAGGAACGCAATGAACAATTAGCAAGGAATTATGGAGGAATTAACAAGGAAATAATGAGGAATTAATGACCAGTTAAAGACCAATTAAGGAGGAATTAACAAGGGATTAATGAGGAATTAATGACCAATCAAGAAAGAATTAATGATGAATTAATGAAAGACTAATGACCCATTAAGGAGAAATTAATGAAGCATTAATAAGGAATTAAAGAGGGATTAATGAAGAATTAACAAGAAATTAATGAACAATTAATGAGGATTTAAGAAGGAATTAACAAGGAATTAATGAGAAATTAATGGCCGATTAAGGAGGAATTAACAATGAATTAATGACCAATTAAAGACCAATTAAGGAGGAATTAAGCAGGAATTAATAAGGAATTAATGAGGAATTAGTGAAGAATGAACAATTAATGTGGAATTAACAAGGAACTAATGAACTATTAACGAGGATTTAAGGAGGAATTAACAAGAAATTATGGAGGAATTATTGATCAATTAATGACCAACTGAGAAGGAATTAAGGAGGAATTAATGAGCAATTAAGGACCAATTAAGGATTAATGAACAAGGAATTAAAAAGGAATTAATGAGGAATTAATGAAGAATGATTTAACATTTAATGAGGAATTAACAAGAAATTAATGAACAATTAACGAGAATTTAAGGAGGAATTAACAAGAAATAAAGGAGGAATTAATGACCAATTAATGACCAATTAAAGACCAATTAAGGAGGAATTAAGCAGGAATTAATAAGGAATTAATGAGGAATTAATGAAGAATGACTGAACAATTAATGAGAAATTAACAAAAAAGTAAGGAGGAATTATTGATGAATTAATGACCAATTAATGACCAATTAAGGAGAAATTAAGAATGAATTAATGACCAATTACTGAGCAATTACTGAGGAATTAAGCAGGAATTAACAAGGAATTAATGAGGAATTAATGAGGAATTAATAACAAATTTATGAGGAATTAATGAAGAATGACTTAACATTTAATCAGGAATTAACAAAAAATTAATGAACAATTAATGAGGATTTAAGGAGGAATTTACACGAAATTAAGGAGGAATTAACAACCCATTAATGAGCAATTAATGAGCAATTAATGAGCTATTAACGAGCAATGACCTGGCAGGGCCTTGGGGCTCTTGGTGCTGCTCGGAATTTTCCTGTGGGGATTAAAAACAACAAAAAAATTCCATTAAATTCCAATTATTCCTAATTAATAGAGAAATCATATAAAAAATAATAAAAATAATTCCTAATTAATATATAAATAATATAAAAAATAATATAAATAATTCCTAATTAATATATAAACAATATAAGCAATAATGAAAATAATTCCTAGTTACTATATACATAATAAATTGCCCGTTAATATATAAATAATGTAATTAATACTGATATATTTTAAAAATATAATTAATAAACAATAAAAATAATTAATAATTACAATGCTAATTGAACAATTAATATATAGATAAAAATATTTATAGTTTTGTAACTGATGTCATCAGTTATTAGAGTATAATTAAAAATATTAAATGCACTTAAGTGTAATTATAGTGAATAAATAATTATTACATCAATACAAATAAATTAATTTCTATACCATGGATAAATAAAATACGGATAAATAAATCTCATTCGAATAAATATGTAAAACAATTATTAAATATTAATGTATTAATGCATCAATGCATTAATGTATTAATAATTAATACAATATATCAATGTATTATATTTCTATACTAATAAGGGCATAAATTAATTATGCATAAATGCATAAAATATATAACAAATAATAGAATAAATATTAATATTATATACTGATTTCTGAAAACTACATTAACACATAAAAATATATCAATGTATTATTTTAATATAATTAATTGCTTTTAATTGTTATTTTAATATATTCACAGATATTACTGGAAACTTATTAATAAACATATTAATACAAATAAATTAATGCATTTCCCCATTAATTTGAAGTGCTTGTAAACGACTTCCAATTATTTAATTTGCCTAAGAAATTGAAATAATATAGTAACAATAATAAGAATAAAAATAACAATAATAATAAAAAAATGAAATTAAATAAAATAAAATAGTAGTAATAATAATAAAATAAAATACAATAACAGTAATAATAAAATGAAATTAAAATAAAATATAATAATAAAAAAATAATACACAATATAACAGTAATAATACTAATAAAATTAAATGGAATAAAATTTTAATAGTAGTAGTAATAATAAAATAAAATAAAATAAAATAATAGTAATAATAATAAAACAAAATGTAATAATAACAGTAATAAAATGAAATGAAATAAAATAAAATATAATAATAGTTGTAATAATAATAATAAAATAAAATAATATAAAATATAACAGTAATAATACTAATAAAATGAAATGAAATAAAATTTTAAAAATAGTAGTAATAATAAAATAAAAATAATAATAGCAATAATAAAAATAAAATAAAATAAAATAACAGTAATAATAATAAAATGAAATGAAAATTCTAATAATAGTAATAATAAAATAAAATATAATAATAGTAGTAATAATAAAATCAAATGAAACAAAATTATAAGATGACATGAAATAAAATAATAGAATAATAAAAAATTAATATTAATATTAATAGTAGTAAAAATAGTAATTATTAATATTATTAATATTAACATTAATAATAATAACATTAATAATGATAATAATAATAAATATAATAATAGAATAATAAAAAATTAATATTAATATTAATAGTAGTAAAAATAGTAATTATTAATATTATTAATATTAACATTAATAATAATAACATTAATAATGATAATAATAATAAATATAATAATAGAATAATAAAAAATTAATATTAATATTAATAGTAGTAAAAATAGTAATTATTAATATTATTAATATTAACA